TGGCTTTCGTCCAGGCAGAGGCTGCATCGACCAAATCTTCGCTCTACGTCGAGTACTCAAACACCGTAAGCAGTGCCAGCAGCACAAGTTTGTGTGCTTCGTTGATTTTCGAGCTGCCTTTGACTCAGTTGGATCGCGAAGCACTGGAGAATCCTACGTGCTGATGGCGTGCCGGTTAAACTCGTTAACTTGCTGAGATCATACTACCGTTGCACGAAGGCCCGGATTCGGATCTATGGAGAAGAAACAGAGGAATTCGACATCAATACTGGAGTCAGGCAGAGTTGCCCAACTGATCCAGTGCTGCTTAACTTAGCATGCGACCGAGGACTATCGTGGTACTCAAGTTAGCCTTGACTTCTGGCTGTCAGATCTAGAATTTGCTGACGATGTCGCTATCTTTGCAGAACATGCTGTATCACTACAGTCACTGCTGAATCGGGTGGACCAATTAGTCTTTATGATCGGCCTCGAAGTTAACATCAGCAAGACGAAATAGTTCTCATCATTAGCCACCCAGTCCGTCCCCTCGTTCTCCTTACTTGGACAACTCATCGAAACTGTTCCTGAGTTCAAGTATCTTGGATCCATTATACTTCCCAATGGTCAGGTTACATCCGAAATCCGGAATCATATTGATAGCGTTAGAACAGGCTTCTTAGATCTGAGAAACACATTGTGCCGAAGGACGGAAATTAGTCTGAGAACGAAGATCCGAGTATTCTCAGTAACCATTCGTGTCATTTTACTCGATGGTTACGATCCGAAGACACCCGGAAGCTGGAACTATTCGATTATTGGTGTCTAAGGCTTATCTTGAAAACACAATGGCATGAGCGTATCCCCAAGGACGAAATGCGTAAGCGCTGTTACGATCTTCCGAAGCTCACAACGCTCATCCAACGCCGCAGACTTCAGTGGTTCGGTCACGTCCCCCGTAGACTAGACACTGAGTTCACTATGGCCGTGGTTCTATCCTCGCTTTGCCAGGGTTGGTGTCGTGGCCATGGTGGTGGACAATTGAAAACGTGGCTCAATGCAGTGAAATCGCATGTCGATCTTCTGGGACCCCATGTTGGGCATGGTGCTCGTCACTGGAGGAATCATTAGATCAGTATCTGCGTGGAGGTTGCCGCCGACTGCCGCGCTTGGGCAGCTGCAATTCGCGACATTCATGAAGTTGGCTCATCCTGTAGCATGAGCTAGATGCAGTAAACTAACAGCGGAAGAGTAACAGTGGAGGAGTTCGAGTATAGACTCGACGCCCTTGGGCTGCAGTTACGAATCTTCTCTTTCACATGTTAAATTGTACTAATAATTATATCCCTAGTAGTTACTTCTCCAAATCCCATCATTTGCGCCTATTTGTTACTCCGCATTTTTACCTACTTCAAGTAACCGGCGCAGCGGGGACTCCCAGTGCAGGTCACGTGGGTATTGATTAGTTGACCATAGTGTGATTCAGGCGTGTTGCTTTGGCCCTCGAAGACTGCCGATATTACCGTCGGTAAATACCCAGGATCAACGACGCTTTCATGAAGGAACATACACAGAAGTCTCGTACTGTACCAGCCCAACTGGAACTTGAATACTGCTGATCATACCTTTAGGTCATCGGCATAGATGAAGCAGATGGTTTGAAATGCTGTCGCGAGATTGTTGCTGTACCGTTGAAAGAGCTTTGGTACAAACACGGATTCCTAGGAACGCCACCTGCAATGAGCACAGGAGCAGAAACGGTTATTTTAGCTTTCACGCGCATTGTCCGGTCTCTTAAGAAGTCAGCAACCCAATGGTAAGGTTTCCTGTGATACCATTTCCCTGTAATGTGAACAGCAGCCGTTCGTGTGGAACTTTGTCAAACGCCTTACTAATGGCAATGAAAAGGTCGTCAACCCGTTTTTGGGCATCTATAGCTTCTGTGCTATTTCTGCGGCTATAAATGATTTGTAGACGCAAGAGTGCGCCCTCTGGAAGCCATGTTAGGCGGAAGAGATAACAGTCAATCCTCACAGTGTAGCTGGAGGACAAATTTGTTTATTGGTTCCATTTTCCTACGGATAATTGATGTAACGCATAGGGGTCGGTAGTTCTCAGGGTCTTGATAGTTAGACCCTTGAATTTGGACATAACGGCACCTGCTTTCCGGTCTACTGATAGGCAGCCGGATTCAAGATGAGGTCGCGATGTACTAAGCTATCGTCTGTTGGAATGTGAGATACAATCCGTCCTGGCCTGGGAAGAGTTCGAGTCCATTTCGGGTGAGAGCTTCTTAACTACTTCAGAGAGCAAGGAATATTATGCATGCGAACAGTTGCTGAGCAGTCGAGCTTACATTGACTAGACCTAGGAATACTGCGCAAGCAGTAGCTTAAACTTTTAATATTGTCGCAAAGTACGGTACCCTGGTTAAAAGTGGATAACGCGGGGATGCCACTACCCGTTTTGGTATTCTTTTTCATGCAGGCAAAGCATTTTGGGACAGCTTGAGATTACATTATCAGGCTACAATCATATTGTACTCGTTTTTAGCGTTTTTTTAGTCTGCAAAGATTGCTGACAACTTTGTGCTCAGAATAGCCTGATTTCAGTAGCCTGATCTTGAAATGGTCCAATAGTTTCCGGCGTCCTTTCATTGTGGAGTTTATTTCTTTTTCCACGCAAGGAAGCCCTCGGGATGGTGGCGTGCTCCTGTAGTTTGTGATAAACTGTTCAATGAACAACAGCCTATTAGATCATAGAAGCTCACATACGTTATCAATATCCAAGTAATGAAGATACTCCAATCCATGTTGCATGCAGCTGTTCTTAATCTGGGCTGGTCAGTAGGCTAAAATTAGGGCGGAGCGTCTCCTGATCGTAGATTGTTGGGTGTCGTGTCCATAAAAAGGAAACTGTACACTCTTCCCAAACGGTTGGAGGATTGCTAGCTCATTAACTTCAAATAGGGACTTGATGAGAATCAGGTTTAGCATGTTTGGTTTGGTCCGAGAGCGTGCGTGTTAGTGTCAAAACATGCTGCGTCAGGTTGCCCTCGAGGACGGTATCGTGGAGAGCAGCTTCAAAGGAGTCCGGTGAGAGCTCAATGTAAATGAGATTCAAGGTGAGGATGGGGATATTAAAGTCTTCTATTAGGAGGCAGCTGTGCACCTGTCATGGGTTACCATGTGAGACATGTCCTGCAGGGCCTCCGTCCATCAGCGATTGATATCAGTCATGAATCCGACACCAGAGCACTTCGGAATTATCATGGTTTTACAATCGTGTTTGACAATGTGGACTTTGGGGTAGGTCCTCCAGTAGAGGACTACTCCACCTTCAGATTTCCCGCCAGAACGATCACATCAAGATAGCTGATAACCTGGAACCTAAACCTCCGAGTCCGAGAGCTCAGATGACAGCCTGGTAGTGGCGAATGTCATTAAATTTAATTGCTGCCCAAACATAGGGTGTGAAATCTAATCCAGTTTGACTCCGTGCGCAAGTTGTTAAGCGCTACACGTAGTCAGTTTTTTGAGTTCCGGGGAGGAGGAGGAGGACTGGCCCCCATCGCGTTCCCAGAGCTTTTCTCACTACGTGAAAATCCACAATGTGTAGATCAGTTGCTCCATTTGCTCATCGGGTTCGCAGTTGGCAGACAGCTTGCATCATTATGACCCGATCCACGGAAGACAGGTATTTCAGGATGTAGAAGGTTGCTACCTTGAGGCGCAGCGCCCGTCTCAGGATGCGCCAGTATTCTTCTTCATTCTGATAGACAATATTCAAGGGAAGGAACTTATATGAGCCCTCTTGTTTTCTGCCAATGTAAAAAAGGTGATACGAGATGTATCCCTTGCTCACCCTCATCAACCAACGTGGAGACCATTCGCTTAAGGAAGACCTAGTCGACGACTATCCTTTTAGCTTCAGTCTCTTTGTTGGATTCTGAAATCTTTGAATAAGAGGCAGCAGCTGCGAATAGGCGACTTGTTTCTTTCCGGTGGTACAGGCTTTTGTGGGCAGTGCGTATCTTTACTCATTTGCAACAATTGCATTACTCTGACTAGAATGAGATTTAGCTTCCTGTTTATGTTGTTTGATTTCATCTTGGGCCGTGAGGTCATCTTCCTTGTGGCCTTGACTGCAGTTGGGTTTATCCTAGTTGTTGATGAGATGTTTGCGCTCGCCACTGCGGCATAGGTTCTGCGCCTATCCTTCAATCCATCCTTGTTCGCGCTAGACGGTGACGTTCTGCCAACATAGTGCAGGAGGTATGGCTACGATCCCCTCTTAGCTTCATGTACCAAGATGCGGGTAGGCACACTGAAGGAACAAGTGGATCGTCATAAGATTGGAGCACAGCCAGAGCGCGAGCAGCATGCGGAGTAAAGTGGTCCAGTTTCCTGGAGAGGCGTCTGTCTCTAGGTCACTGCGTGACACGGACCACACTGAACGATGAGAACATGGGCAGTGGTGCATTGTAGACTCGGTAAAGGTCGCTTTCAAGATTGCAGCTGATTATGTGCAAACATCAGGCGCAAACAGTGCCCTAGACCGCCTTTGAACAAGAGTTGACAATTTTGTCACAGTTCACGCACTTAGATGTCATGTTTTCGTTAAGGAATGGAGATCAGAAGGGAAGATCTAAATAAATAAATAAATATTTTATGCTCGACAAAGTGAGACACATCTTCTGGGCATTGTCAGAATTGTGCAATGTTGTACATGATAGCATAATGAGCAGGACCAAAAGCGGGAGTAATACAGAGATAGTCAGTAGTGTAGGCCCACCTGCTCAAAGACTGAATGAAGTTTATCCTCACAGAGTGCGAGATGTAAAGATAAGAAATACAGAGATCACTGAGTGTAGTATGTTGGTGAGGAACTGGTCCGATGAGCTTGTGTACACAATGCGGGTCAGGTAAGTGAAGCATGAGGAGAAAGCTGTGTAAAATTTTAAGAACAGTGACATGTCACCGATCAAACATGCAGACGTAGTTGTATGAGAGCAGATATATGCACAGAACTTTTGAAATGTGGTATCGATCAACTTGCTGATGCGCGAATGGGGCAGTGACATTGTTGAGAGACGAGTCCCATCCGGCTTGATCTTTCCGAACGACCCCAGAATTAATTGGAGGGAAGGAGGCAACGACTGTCGACTAGCGGGCGGAATTTGTCAGAGAAACATGAAGCCCAGTGAGGATAATTAATGACTCGAAATGCATAAAAATCGCGGAATTTACTAGCTGTCGCGGAAAATGAAAACTTCGCGTAATCACAAGAAAATTGCGAAATTGATAAACAACTTGTACTGGATTTTGTTGCAAGCTATATACTTGTATGCGGGAGAAATGCCAAACCAGCCAGCTGGTTATTGGAACATTCCTCTGGAGTATAATAACCGCCACCTGTCAACCATCTGCTATCCAACTAACCTTCTTCCCCGATTCATAGACACGGCGGCAGTTTAATCCCGACCTCAGTGTGACTCATGCATCTAGTTCTTATCCAATCATGTTCCGCGCTGTGGACTCATCCGTTTGGTCATTAGAAATACAACCTTTGCCCACATGTACAGTAAATCTGTCCCACAGATGTTTGTTCACACCTTTGACGCATATCTGGCCGGCACACACTGCCCCCCCCCATTACGGTCACCCGCGAAGGTTTTTCGTGTCCGATGATGCGATATATATATATATATATATATATATATATATATATATATAACTCACTTCGAAGTGAGGGTTTTCTCTCGAACAAGTCATCGCTTGGCCTCCCCTCTTCCTCTGCCAACCGCACCCCCGGCGCGCAAATAATGCACGTTGCGGGAGTCGGTGTGCTGGCATGCGCAACACGTGGTAGAACCATCGGAGCCTGGTGCGCAATATAATGGTGCTGAGCGGTTCACTCTTTCTTCCTGCACCAACTACGCGACGCCGAACACGCTCATTGCTCACGCGGTGCTCCCACCAGACAGGAGGTATGCTGCGAAGGCAACGATGATCAAATGTGACGATCCCCTTTATGTCTGTTGACCTGATGGATCAGGTTTTACAACCATACAGGAGGGTTGAAAGGACAGTGCGTCATAAACTCTGCCCTTCAGGGCAAGAGTAATGTCGCGTCTGCACCACAGGTTGCGGAGATTAGCGAAAGCACCTCCAGCTTTTGATACACGGTTGGTAAACTCAGCTGCGATCCGATGAGGCTAATATAGCTGCCCAGATACTTGACTTCCTGAACGACTTATAGCTGAATACCACCAAGTGTAAGCGCATGGGTGAGTCCCTGCCAATCTTGGAGAACTTTGCATTTCGGTGGAGCAAAGCATAGCCCAAAATGATTGATAGCCAGTGCTAATCGGTCCAGTGCAGCCTGGCACGTTTGAGCGCTGTCACATATGAGGGCAATGTCGTCCGCATACTCCAAGTCAAGAAGTCGTTCACCAGAAAGTAGCTCCACACCTTCTAGGTCGTGTGCAGCGAACGCTGTTTCCCTGACTTCATCAGTAGTGAAGTTGAAGTGAAATGGTGACAACGGTCAACCTTGTCTCACACCGCTGGGGATATTAAAGGGCGGCGACAGTTTGACATAAACTTTCACTCTGCCCGAACTATGCGCGACAGCGCTTTGAGAAGGTTTACATATTTATCGGGCACACCTTTCCTCAGCAGACAATCCTAAAAGGCACATCGATCCATCGAATCGAAGGCACCTTTGATGTAGAGAAACACGACAACGGTGGGTCGCCAAGAAACAAAGGCGGTGCCGCAACAATTGACGCAAAGTGAAGATGTGGTCGATGCAGCCTCGATTTCGACGAAACCCGGCTTGCGCTTCGCGGATCTGGCCTTCGCGAGCGCGAGTCAGTCTGTGAACGACAGAAGCAAGTAATTTAGAGGAATTTGTGATCAGACTGATCCCTCTATGGTTGCCGTATTCCGAACGAGAGCCTCCCTATTCTCGTCTGATACCGATTCTGCTTCAGGCTTTATTACGAATTTAGCATATGCCAGTTTACTTTTGCAATCCCCGTTATTTCTTACTTTATTCCTGTGTTCATGAATCTGTTTGCGATTCCGGTCGCACCGCAAACCATAGAGTTCAGCCTGTGGTCCTCCTTCGACTCCGACTGGCGAACACTCACGTAGATTGAGCAGCAAGCCGGTCAAACACGCAACTTGGAGTCTCACGGTGTTGATGGCTGTTTCCTTTCCGAAACCTGATTGCAGTATCCACCCTCCTGCTTAGGTTGATTTTCACATTAATCACGAGGCCTCAGCGGGTTTGGTTGGTGCAGTTATAGGATTACGCTGCAAAGCTGTGGTCCCACCGCTGGACTGGTTGCCGATTAACAGCCAACTGAGTGCAGTTCTGCTTCGGGATCCATGCAAAGTCAACAAGCGTCGCGAGGAGAGACGCAAATTGTTTGCGATCATGCAAGCGCCAACTGAATGAAATAGTGGCTATAGTAGGAAAGCTGGGAGTCATCAGCTGTACGCCGGAACGCAGTACGGACGTTTTACTGCCGCGCAACCACCATGGGTCGCACGTGCGTTAAGGATACTGAGAGGGTCGCCCTGCACCTACGCAGACTCGAACCCGCGCCGTCAGATTATAATACAAGCTCGTCAACTTAAGGCTACAGGCCGACAGTGGCTCGGTCAAGGGCGAGTTTTGTTATGAGCTTCATCAGCTCTTGGCTGACACTAACAAATGAGGTGTCTTCGTCTTTGTTGGGAATTTCAGTGCACGGTTGGCTGCCTGTTGTCATAGGAAAGTCAACTTGGTGATCACCACGCGCTCGAGGAGGACCGCTCGGATAGCGGAGAGAGACTTCTCACATCTAGCGAAGATAATCATCTGTTTCTCTCGAACACCAACTCCAGGCACAAAAAGATATTCCGCAACCTATGGTCCTTCTATGTAGATATATTTCTCTTCTTAAACATTGGTTTGATCAGTTCTATTATTCTGTAACATATTCCGTGCCAATTCTGTGTGTTTGTTTTCCTTCAAATTATTTGTTGGTTATTTAATACCCACGGTGTAGAGGCGCTTGATGTGAGTGTTGACAAAGTGCCTACCTGTCTAACACCCTGCACCACGATTACTGGCGCCATAAAACTGTGCATCCTTGCTGGGGGACGGGTGCACAGTCTTTGTGGCTGTGCTAGTCTCGAAGAGTGATTCCATGAATCCAGTATGGAATGGAATATAGCCCAACCGCCGCCTTGTGTACATCTGTTACGCATGTTTCCAAATTAGCTAGACGGGACTGGCGTTGTTAGGCATGTTGAAAGAGTATGGGCAGACTCCTTTGATGAAACGTAGCTCCCGTACACATTCGTCCCGTCTTATTCCTTCGGGTTCGCACTGAATATGGGGTGTGTGGTGCAGCACTAGCCATCTATGGTTCTTCTGTAGTCGCAGGCGTCTTGTGACTGTCCTAAGGAGGTCGTGGTGACAAGCAAACCCGGAACCGGATGCCGCCAGTCATTTGTGGCGGGAAGAACGAGTAAACAGTTATACATCACACACCAGACTCCGATGGCTGGGCCACGTGCTGCGCATGCCAGTACACCGACTCCCGCGACTTGCCTTAATTGCGTACCGGGGTGTGGATAGAAGAAGAGGAGGCCAGGTGTTGACTTGGTCAAAAGGAATGAAGTTCGTGGCCCCAAATTTGGCGTCGGTCGTTGTGTGCCGACTGTTGGGTTGGGAACCGAAAGCCAATGAAGATGTCTACTTGGATAAACTTGTAGAGATGGCGAAGAATCGACATCAACTGCGCTTGTGTCGTGAGTTACCCTGTTTGGTTAAACTGGCAAAACAAGTAAGCAAGTGAATGCTGCATTATTTCTATCTGCTCTTGCAATGGAATCCTTGTGTAAGTGGAGCAATTTATACCTTGACGTCGATCCCTCCATTATAAAGAATGTCCGCTTCATCTGCACCCGGAGGATACATCAATGGTTTTCTAAATTCGCTTTAAGTCCACATATTCCTGTTGTCATCGTATCCCATTAAATACCCATATCAGCAGCACATCGCGCTCCATGCAAAGGCCTGTTCTAAAGGCAGTAGCGAATTATGTAACATATTCCCTAAAATTTAGTATTCAGTACGTACACAGTGTTAAAAGTTCGTCTTCTGCCAGCGCCGATCTAAAGCTTGTCGCAATGTAAAGGAATCGATGTGTGTTATTTGAAACAGGAGCCAAACTACTACACTCAAATGATAAACATAATTTTAGAATTAAGGTAAGCACTATACATGCACTTTCGGGGCAATGCAATCCATCATCTCCATCTTCCTCTTTATATTATAAAAATTTTATCATGTAGAAACATAAGGGCGACAAGATGAATTTAAACTAAACACAGTTGGTCGATCGTTATTTAATTGGAAACTGACGTGCACTCGCAATCATGCAGTTATGTAACAAATATACTTGAACTCGCGTTTGTTACAACATTTATGCTACCTAACGGTCAACATGTGATCGAGGTGCTATTATTTCCCGCAATTCGCCCTAACACACTACATAGGGGGAGCCTCGCGTAAATATAAAATAAACTTATTTTGGTATTTACAGCTTGTGGCAAGTGTCAGAGTTACTTATTATTGCCACAAGAAGTAGCTTGTTAAGCATAGCAAAGTGCCAGAATTCGCACACACAGTTTTCGTATGTGGTATGGTAGACCCAGAAGACCGATATTTAAGAGGGCAACTTCGGGATACCGCTTGATTACTTCTGAAAGAATCTAAAGAGCACGTTACGCTAAATTCATAAATGCCTCACATAATGCATCCTATTTACAGGTATAGAATCTATAAGGCAGGGTAATCTCCAGAAGGTTTTATGGTCTACGACTAGGTTGTAGCATCTGCTTCGTGTAATATGGTGCGAAGCGTGTCCAAAGTAATTTTGCTTTTACTAGTTCACGGTAGCTAAAATTAAACGATGTACTCTCAGAGATTTTGGAAGAAATATAGTTCGATCCATGCTAACCTTGACAAGGAAACTTTACGCAAACAACGCGTACATGTCATCGCATAGTTAGCATTGCTGCTATGCTGCATTATAATGGGCGGAGATCGTCTGGTTTAATAGAAAACAAAAAACTAAAATGGTCCTACTTTTATTATTCCTCTGTGTAGTTTTAACATGCGTCTCGCAACGGGCATCTTTTGAATCGTTGTTTTTTCTCGCTTCTTGCAGAATCAGGTCAGCGTCTAAACCCGCGCATTTCAAGGTGGAGCTGAAGAGGTTTTCCGCGCGCTTTCGGGCAACCTTCTGCGACTGCTGTGCGATCAGTAACGGTCTGGCTGATACTCTTCTGTGGATCTCCTTCAGCTCGCGCTTGTAGTCTGCTTGACGGGCTGAACACTGTTGACTGTAAAAGTTGAAGAAATTTGTTATCATATTTGTGCAATATTACTTTATCAGCAGTCAATTTCTTCTTGAGATCCGCCTTCTAATTTACTAATTAACTGAGATTACGGGTGCGAGTTTAGGGACAGATGGCACTGCTATTCAGCACCACCAATTTGACTTTGCTAACTGATATAATTGTGGGTATACAATCAAAGTGTACTCAACACTACGTTGTCGACGTGAGAACGTTAGATTTCAATTGGTTCAGTAGATCCTCGTGGTAACTCCGTATTTTTCTTAGCAATGCGACTATAGGCATTGCACGAAGGATCAGTGAATTGTATCAGCTCAGAGCTAAAGACGAATGAAAAAGTTGGGCTCCACTATTCACACTGGCGAGTCGAATTTTTGCAAACAATGTTGCCGAACTCCCTCTTGCAAAACTGATTTCCCATAATCTATCTCGAGAATAACCCAATGCAATAAAAATGGTTTTGTCAGTGATTTGTAAAAACCTAAACTTTGTGAAAGAATGACTGGATCAGAGCATTTCGCTTTATACAATGTGTCCAGTAATTGCATACCTATGTGTCCCTACGTTTATATTCGTCATTCCGAAAGAGTAAAGACAACTGCTATGCAAAACCATATACAAAAAGCTTGCTAAAAGCTTTTCGTCGCTAATATTAATTTTTGGTCGTTTGCAGTTACAATGACGAGACCTTCTTCTTTATAAATGAACCATTTTAGTCAGAAACCCAATAGTAATGAACCAACTGGAGACAAATTGAAAGAACTTTCTTAGTAACTCATCCGAATTACTAGCATTTGCTTTATACTAAAGTCGGTTAATTTGTATATAGGAAAACAGTAGGAGTAATTTTGACACTGCTTTCTTGTCAATGGAGATCGGAAATAACAGTGCACGACTTAGATTGAATTTCTTGTTACTTCATACAAACGCCTTTGGTGGGGAAAAAGAGACAAACATTAATGTAAGAATGTGAAATCTAGTCAATTGTTTCGAGAAAATAGGTGCGTTTATGTAGGGTACTGTTAGCTAAACCTACCCAATCTATGATTTGACATAGTAAGGATAGCGATATAAAGAATACTAAATACTGGTTCGAAGCAGCGAGTAGAGCTTTCTCTGTGTAGCTGCATCATTCGTCGCTCTTGGACACATACTCCTTATTGATCGTTACGCTCTCTATATTTTGCCTCTGCAGAGTGCTTGTCTAGGAGCTTCTTAAATTTGGACACTGAGTTCGCCTCTACTATGTGCTGCGGCAGGTCGTTCCAGACATTCACCACTCTGCGTTCGAAACAGAGTTGGTGAGCGATCCGCTTCAACTTCGGTACGATAAGTTTATACCGGTGTCCTCGCGTGCAGCTTGGTGTGCGCAGATGAAGCAGTTGTCTCAACATGGGGTAATCACCCAGATGTAATATCTGGTGCGTCATGATGAGGTCAACCCTCGGCCGAAGATAAGCTAGGGTGTACAGCCCTAGTTTCTTATATCGGTCTTCGGATGGCATACCTCGTAAGTTGGGAATCACCCTGGTGGCTACATGCTGCACCCGTCCAAGCTTTCCTACCTAGCCCAGGGTGATGGGACAATACGCAGGAGAGCCGTACTCTAGCATTGGTCGTATTATCGAGACGAAGAGGCGAGTAGCAATCCCTTCGGACCAAGTGCTGAAGCTGCGCCTGAGCGCCCAAAGCATCCGTAGCCTGTTTTGGTACAGCTTATTCGTGTTGTCAATGGACTTTAGGTAGCAGCGTGAGAGCACACCGAGGTCGCGCACGAAAGGCGCGGGATGCAACGGTTGACCAGCCACTGTGTAGGTTCGGCTGTGCTCACACTTACCCAACCTCATAAATTGCGACTTGGTAGGGTTGATCGGAAGGTTAACCTCTGCAGACCATGTCGAGAGGTGGTCGAGGTCCTGCTGAAGTAAATCACAATCATTTAGTGTGCGGATTACTCTCCACACCTTCAAGTCATCTGCGAACAACGCACAAGGTGATTGGAGTAGCTGAGGCACATCGTTTACATGGATCAGAAACAATATCGGCCCCAGTACAGTGCCTTGGGGCACGCCGCTGCTCGATGGATACCAGTCCGTTAGATGGTTGTCCACCTGGACTCCACTTCCGATCAACAAGGAAATTTCTGATCCATTTGTGCAGCGAACCACCAACACCACACATCCTCAGCCTGTCAAGGAGCACTGCATGGTTAACCTTGTCAAAAGCCTTACTGAAGTCAATGTAAATGACGTCGACCGATTGGCCTTGGTTCAGCGCTTGTAACCATTCGTGCCTCGTCAACAGTAGGTTGGTGATGCACGAGCGATCTTTCATGAAACTATGCTGTGCGGAGGTCAACAGGTTTTTCGACTCGAGAAGCTGCAGAAGGCTCTTCTTCAAGATCTTCTCGAGCGTCTTTTCCAAAACAGCGGTGAGGCAGATCGGCCGGTACGTTCGATCGATCAATGCTTATTATTAACAGAAAATTACTGGAAAACACATTTTATTTTAGCAAGAATTAATAATAGTCAGCAAACGGATACAAGATAACACCAAATTAAACAAACGTCGTAGCTTTGAATAATACGAGATATACCACAACATCCAATACCTGGGTTTTACATATTTCGAAAGTACTCCAAAAATGTTTTCTACTGTCCTTATATAACAGGAGCAGTTGTTAACTCACCTTAATTCTCGCTTTTTTCTAGCTATTTCAGATCGAACTACAGTCTCCGGTGAAGTAATGCTTTCTCCGAGAGAGTTACGTATGCACGTATATAGCTGTCGTTGTCTTTCCATTCTCAAACGCTCTGCCTCTTTGTCCATTTTAACGTTTGAACATGCTTTCTTGATTAACTCCCTGTAGAAGAATCATAAAGTGCAATTTATGTAATGAGATGACATGCACGTTTCCGAAATAAATGTTTTCAAGAGGGAATCAGTGAGGTTACTTAAATAGCAAAAGCTGTGATCCGTTTTAGTCAGACATGTGAGCAGTTTGTTCTAGCAGATCCAATAAACCACGCTGCTGCCGCTGATTCTAGCACCATGAGGGTCGAAATAGTTCACACTTCGTAGGGAACAGGCAAAGTGACTTTTGCAAGGGTTCTATTACAGCAAGTAATTAACGACGAAATTCATCCGCAAATATTCCAAACTAATTAAATCAGAAAATAAATTTGTGGTTAAAGCCAGTTTAAACATTCCTATAGTCTGCATTACTAGTATATGATCCGACTTCAGGATTGCAACCTGCCAAATAAACTTGTACTCACTCACTCACTGGAATAGCAACAGTAGGGCTAAACGCGTTTTAATTTTCTTTGGTTAGTAATTCGCTATGTTTTCAGCTTCTTTTCCAACAGGGACGGAAATTTGTGACCAGTACAGCTTCTGCTCGCCGGAAGCTCCAATATAAACTAAACTCTACATATTTACGTGCGCTTGTGACGCAGTTAACCCTTGCGCGTCGCCAACCTTGCACAATCGTGCTACATGTCTGAAATCAAGATTGGTCGTCTGTAGCAGTCTATGAAGTGGATCAGCTACGTCGCTTTGACGACAGACGCGACTGCTCTCTATAGGACATTCTTACTGCATTAATCAGGTCTACTTCATCTCGGCTGTATGTAAAAACTGTTTGTTGTAAAGCTTACCAAAAAGTCTCACGGGAAAATCGAAGCATAAAATGTCTCTAAAATCAGCATTTAGTGCCGGCGTCAGTTGGGTGGACATCCTCTGGGATTACTAAAAAGTCGATTAGTACGGCTGCAGTGTGCTACGGATTAAAACGACCCGTCCGTAAATCTGCGCAAATGATGTACAGGTGATGTACGGTAATAAAATTGGGCCCACTTAATTTGTTAACATGAATAGTTCTTGTGTCAAGGTTTAAAGACTGATAAGAGATCTTCAACGTATACTACTTCACTAAGGACTAAAGTTTCACTGTTCCACGAATGTTATATTTGTCCAGCGAGTTCATTGCATTCATGCATGGCTCTGTGGGAATTTGATCAAACCAGCCTGCATCTGTATGGATACAGTTCAAAGTTTGAAAATTGTATAATTTAGATTCCTCATTATTGTTATGGCAAAACATTCTATTCAAATATATTCAACCGTACTCAAATATTCCGTTCAAATTCACTGTGCGCATATTTGCTGTCGCACATTAGACGACAACAGAATAGTGCCGGTTCGTCTCACTCGTGCAGTTTACGCAGTGTCGGCAGTAAGCGACACAAAATTCTCCGAGCTGGAAGTACCGTATATTACCGAATATAAGTCCCTCCATAGAGAAGTTGACAGTATGACTTTGCAGCATAAAATTTGTCCGAAGTCCATTTATGAGCCGACCCATAAAAAACTGACAAAAGAGAAACGAAATTGTTTCTCCACCATTTCGACGTCATCACTACCTGTTCTCACTTGAGTGAGTTCGAATGCAATCTGCTCCACTATTGGTCAGCGGTGGTGACCGTAATGTCATAATCGCGGTTAACGGAGCGAAGGGCCGTTAGAACAGACTTTCACTGCACCGGATGGTATGGTGACTAGGAATCAAGTCACATGAAACAGGTAAGACAGTCGACAATATATGGAAAGGTGAGAGGGTGTCAGACAGGCCGCCTCGTATAGTCGGGAGCCTCATGCATATGAATCACAGTGGAGCAGTAGGTAAGAGCAAAATTCACGGTCAGGGGTGTGGGACGACATCGTACATTTTAGGCACCGCATCGCTTGGCATAACATAATGTTTAAGGGCTTTGGAATCGCTACTACAATACAACGCGAAGGTCAGATGTGCAGTATACCGAGAATTTTCGACACAATAGTAATGTGTCCAGTTATAGGCACTTAAAATCCCTCTCTGAAATACCGTCCGTCACTAGCGGGTCGTACTAATGAGTGATAAGAGCAGAGATATGTAGTGAATTCCTTAGTGGATTTGGCATGTGACATTTTTCAAAGCACGTATGACCTTTATAGAAGCCGACCCAACTCTACAGCAACAAAATATGGTCCAAACTTCATCAGGTTATATTCGGTAATCTGCGGTAATCCCAGTGACGGAAATGGGAGGTAAATTATGGTTAGAACTAAGATTAGGATAATTAATCCTAACGCAGAGTGGGTAATCTAAACTCTGTGTTTGGCACTTATTTCTTTTTCTTACAATTGGATCTCCTGCAGATAACTTGGTCACGTATGGCGAGCATTTCACATAGATATTTCGCAATTATTGGACCAGTTATGCTTATTTCAAAGAAACAGTTGCCGGTAGGCAATTGGACATTCGACATTGTTGAGGACGCAGCACCAGATAAGGGTGGGATATTAAGCAACATTAATGTTCCAGGTCGCCTTGAACATCCAAAAGTTAACAAAAGTATCACAGCTAACCCACCGTATGTGGTTCTCCCTTAAAATTGTTCCCCTGGCTTTCGCTGGAGATGGGAAATCTGTTGACTGCCGTGAATTCTGAGGCCTGAATCCCAAGCTTTGGAATGCACCGCGTTCGAGGTGGGCACGTGTCGGATTGTCTTTTCGATTGGGGACTTCAAAACATAAAAAGTGAATTATTACCTAATGAGCGGATAGTGACGTTAGATAGAAGCCCCGATCCTGTACAATTTGCTCACGAACACCACATAACAAATGCTCATGATACTGCCTTTTGCCAATAAATCTCTCTTTTGTGCTGCGAAAGTTCACCAGAGTATAGTGTTAAGTAACTTATCAATTGCCAATAAAATGACACCCAATATCGAGCTCACCAAAGCGGAAACAAAGTTAACTTACGTTTCGTTGAGTGCTATGGCAATATATTCTATGCGCGTTAACTCTATAGTACTCTACATTCCCTCGCATGAGTCACTTCATTAAGCAACGTTGGAGATACGAAGGGATATACTTATTCATGGAACGCATTAAATTCCCAAACATTATCAAATACCACGTAGCGGGAACATTGATTTTAACACAATTCATGGAATATATGAGTGCAATATCAACGATACCGTACTACTTGAGTGGAAGATGGTTCCATAAGTAACACAGTGAAGCTTTTGGGCTCACAACAGTCAGTATTTTTCCATTTGGAGTTGGCGCAATAGATAGCTTGTTACATTTTATCTAACCGTGTCAAAAGAGTGAGTTCAAATCCCTTCATTAAATGTCTAGTCTAAATTTTCTGATTTCAGCAATATGGTTTGAAAATACGCCATTTTTTGCTAACTTTGAAGCTTTGCATGTACTTCAAGGATTTTGTCACAAGCGCGAACCAGCACTTTAATGTAGTAGATCCGAATTTCCAACAGCGTCCGATCAACGAAAGAGATGGTTATCGTGGGTTTACTTGTAATAATCTATCTCATAGAGCAATGGTTTATGAAGGGTATAAAAGCAAAAGCTTGACAAGTCCAATAGGATTGTTGGGTTGAAAAATATACGATAAAACATTTGTCGGTAAAAGAATGCGCGAGATACAAGATGCACAAAAGTTTTCGGGTAGTACATTTGTGAATATTCCTGCGTGAAGTTTTAAAGGATTATGACATAATCCACTGCTTGTTTTGCATTCACGCGACCATCTAGTGGTGTGAGGCTATATCACGTAGTGTCAGGGCATTGTCAAGCCTTATTCTGAGTAGTGACAATGCTGGGACATGAAATACACGCGCTAGGAGGGAATTTAAAAACTGTGACACTCGGACGGTGAAAACGTTCCGTCGACATTCCAGTCATGTATACTGTGTGACTAGCTTAAACTGGTGCCCTCACAGAGATGTGTTTCGACTGCGTTTCAAAAGATGTTAGCAAGTGTGGTTGGGGTTCCTTGGGATCTGATACACAATTATGGGATCGCTCCGTAGACACCGATAACGTTCGCTGAGCAATTTTAGAGTCTTCCGTCTAAGTGGTGGGACAGACATTTGAGGTCCATCATCGCTCTGCGTTGTTCAGTAACGAGCGCGGTGCTCCTGTCAGTGTTGCACACTTGGATAGCGCATCCACATGCGATCTCACGTCCGCGCCAAGCGTTTTCTTAAAGACTGAGGCGTCAACTCTCCTGAACGTCCCACTTACACTTACAGCGGCGTAACTGCTGGATAAACACTCAAACAGACGACCCGCATATCTTTTGATATTGTAGGTTTACTCCTACCATCCTGATTTGCTGAGTGGCTTTCTCTGAGGCATTTTCAGTCTGCCTCAAAAACTAATTTGTCTTGCACAAGCATGCTGAGATCGCAATCATGCGAATTCCGCTGTATAAATTGTGAACCTAGTCGATAACTGTGAGTAATGTGACGGCTTATGCTCAACATCTTACAAGGCGGCTTTGAACTGATGCATGTTTTGGTTGGACCATGTGTATGCTTAATCCAGATCATCTTGTGGGAGTGTGTGATCATCTACTGTAGTGACATCACACTATATTTTTAGTTCATCGGCGAATAGTAAGAACTTTGAAGATAGCAAACGCGCGATAGCATTTATGAAGACCAGGAACAAGCTGGGCCTGAGTACAATGCTTTGAGGTACGTCGCACTGGATTTCGATTGGTTTGGATAGGGTGCCGCGAACCTTCACCTACAGATGACGTTGAAAGAGAAAGTCGCCTATACAGTCCAGAACGGGATCGTGGATTCTATAATGCTGAAGCTTTTGAAGTAGACTGCGATGGTACAGACAATCGATTGTGCTAGAGAGGCGGGCCCAGCCAATGTCCGAATACGAGATCGCAAACGTGTGTGGGTTTCCTGTGGAGTACGTGAGCTGTCTGCTACATGTGAAAGCACGAGCACGGTACAAAGTCAAACTGTTCGGAAAGCAGGCACGAGTTTTTGGCCAACGAATACAAGCCAGTTCAGGCGAGAGTTTTGGCTAGCAAATACAAGTCAGCGCCAAAGGAGGCAGTGCATTCGGCCAAATATGGAAAAACCGTGGAACCAAAATCACTGACATTGGCTGAGAGCCAGTCGCATAGCCAGGCTTCCTAAAAATAGTACGTTTCGTTACCTAATAAATACGAGCGGTCTGTCGTGTAGAATATACTTCCTGTTACCGAGTCTTGGCCCTTTTTCTGTATCCCATTGGTTGGCTGGTGCGGGACTGAACAGTCAGACGGTCGCAGCCTAGCAGGTTCCGTGTTAAGGAAACAGTACTACAACAGATTGCCTTTGAGAAATCCGGATAATCAACATCTATGCCTGCACCAGCATGCACGAGTTAGCAACAAGTTAGTAGTATAGGATCCATTTTGGCGAAATCTGTCCTGCCTTGGTATGGGGAATTTCGTTACTCTGCAGGTACTCCATGAGTGCGCCAGCAACAATGGACTCCATGATATTGGAAATCACCGGGAGTATTGTTATCGGGCGATAATTAGTTGGTTCTGCACGGCTACCACTTTGCTTAATTGAAATGATGATCCCGTGTTTCCACACCGCTGGAATCTGCATCTTGTTAAGACTTGGTTGAAAGAATAGTGCTAACGGTTCAGCTAAATCCATGGTAGCCACTTTCAACTCCTTCGGGTGAATGTCGTCTGTACTAGGCGAGTTGTACTCGCGCAAGGACATCAGCCGCTTCAGTGCGCCCGTGGTTGTAAACGGTATGTGGTTAAGCCATACTGTTGGAATCATTTTCGTAGGAAGGATGTAAGATCTTTGTACACCTTTTAAACCACGGCTAAATTGTTGTCCAAAAAGGTTGGCCATCTCTCATGCCGTTTGCGATAAGACGCATGCAGTGTGCAGAGCAGGAATTTCACGCTTTACATTATGAAACTTGTTTACGTGTATTTATGGCAGCTTAAGGTTAATGCGAAAGCTTACCACAAGGACTTGTTTGTACTTTGCTATACCCTCCCGGACGAGTTGGACGCAGTGATCCCTTTGTGTTGTGTAGACATTGCTTGTGTCCTAATAGGGAGAGGCTGTGACAGCGAGCCAAACCCAGTCTCTCTATGACATGAATTCACGAGTCCTGCTCTTTAGGAACGACTTCATCTCTTCGAGCGGTGGATTTTGATTTCTGATATACTACTTACCATTAGCCTGTTGAATTTGTTGACAAATTCCCCGCATGCCACCTCAGGGTACAATTCGGCTAGGACGGACAAGCTTGTTGTACTAATGCCGGAGACCCTATCATAATTTGTTACGACGTTAGATTCTTCGGTGCAATCTTTAGGATATACTAAGTAGCACATGTATCGGAACATTAGAACCGCATGATCGATGCGGCAAAAAGGAGCACCCATTGTCACTATGTTGATGCCATCGTGGCTAAAAACGAGGTCCAAGGTGGAAGCTTTGTGTCATATCCTGAAACGCTTTGGAGAAGTGACGTGGTAGTACAGCGGTGAATCAACGATTAGTTCTTGTCGTTAGGTCTTGAATTGCTCAAGGAAGTGGCTGAAGTTTCTGTGGCGTGTATGTTGATATCCCATAGCAGGAGATCGTGGCTAAGATCTTGTCGTTAGGTTCTTCATAGCGGGGTCTAGAGCGTGCTCCATTTTGAAGTGGACAATAGTGGGCGGTATACAGTGATTATTAAGCCTATATCGCCCTGTCTTAGGTGTACGCGGCACCATACTATGTCTACTACTTGAAACCCTGGGTCTGGTACGCGTTGATGTGTAGATCAGAACGTAGTAAGGGATTAAACCGCCTCCATTATAGGGTCGGTCGTTACGCAAGAGCGACATACTAGTTTGTGTGATCTCGACGTCGGTGATAATGTCGTCCAGTCATGTCTCGATTTCCATGATGAGGTCCCAACACGCTGAGGCTTAACGAAACCGAAGCTCGGTCAATATACTGAGGAGGCCTTGTGCGTTTTTATACAATCAATTGAGGGCTACACATGCCGTGTTTTTATGCCGACCTTCGTGTGGCTGGCTGATAATAGTTTTTGATGTATTTCTGGCCTACCGCCCGGGGCCGTTTCAACATGTTTCACACAGCACCCACTACCTGTCCTTCAGAGACGACCTGCGGCCGATTGCCTGTTTCTTCTTCTTCGGATGACTGAGGGGTTGCACTGCGCTCCGGTTCAGTAATAAAGACAGCTGGGCTCACAACAACATCTCTCTGGTTTTGTGTTCCATCGGCCAATGGTGGCCTGGCTTCGACCGTCTTCAGAGGTATTTCTGGTGGCAGATTAGTGTGTAACTTGTGCCAACTTCCGATGACCCTTTCAAAAATTAGTTTGGAGTGGGACAGGACTTGCAGCACATTTAGTCCAAACCTCTATTAGTCGAGTGATATGGGTAACCTTGACGTTAAGTTGGCAATTACCTCGTGGAGAGAGAGAAGGATTCGCGTTTGTAGCTCCACTCTTACAAATTATGAGTTTGGGCTTGCGACTCGTCGGTAGACTAGATTTCGAAAACACCATGCACAAAAGTTGATCTTTCGTCTTTTGTTGCGGTATTCTCCTTTGCCGACACTCATCCTAGTGGATGCCCGGAAATATACGAATATCGCATAAAAAATACAAAGACGGTGAGCTGAAAATAAAGCTGTCTACGCTTTGTCACGCGACT